AACTCCCAACTCTTGAGCCACGAACGAATGAACTGAAGCAACAATGTAGCGCTCATAAAAAAATCATACAGAACACAACGATGAAGATTTATTGCAGTTAAAGGTGTTTTTTTACAAGCTACTGAATAATGGAGTGTACTTAATGTTTCACAACTGCATGTAACAATAACCATTTCTAGTATCTTACGCAAGTTTTTTACTTGTCAGCTCAAATAATGGCCGTAACCTAAAAGCAAATATCAGCGATGATCGCCTGTCAAGCATAAACATCATCGTGGGACATTTTTATGTGAACATCTCATCTTTGAAAATGGATATTATGATGTGATGCAGGAAGATTCTAGTCTGCATATAGAAGTAAGAATTTTTGTTTTTGTTATTAAACCGTTGGTAGCAGAAATTAAATCGTGTTGAATCGTAAACATGATGGCCCACATTTGACAAGAATGTTTTTAGCCTTTAGAAATCCTAATGGTTACCATTATCATCTGGTTGGGGCTTTCATGCTGCTCCCATCAGCTACAAAAACAACATTTCCTCACTGAATTGCAGCTTGTTAACTCGGTGAAGCTGCTGGCGTACGAAATCACACATAATTGCATGAGTCACCAGATTGTCTTTAATTCCCCCTTTCAGCCTCACGCTTCCTGCTGCGGATTCTCGTTCTCTCACCTGTCACGGTGTCAGTGGTTACTAAGGCTGGGCCGAGAGGACAGAAGCTGTCAAATGTCTTTCCTAGAAGCCACTGCTTCCCGTTACGCTTCATCTGCCAGTCACGAGCGCTGACGTCATTGGCCACGGTGAACCCGGCCACGTAGGAGAGAGCGTCTTCCTCCTAATAGAAAGAGGAGTGGAAATAAGAGTCAGAACAGCTGCTTCGCCGAGCATGAAAGCACCACGGCCTTCATTGATGCTGTGATGCTGACCTTGATGTGTTTTCCTCTTCGTCCTATCACAAAGGCCAACTCCACCTCCCAGTCCACCTCCTTCAATCACACAAAAAGCCAAGATGATGTAAAAACGGCATCAAGAAGCATCACGTGTATTTTTTAGCATTAATAAATTAAAGTATACTAAAAACAGCTTTTTTGTTTTTTTATGCAAGTGTTGTGCTGTTAAATTATTGTCCTGCTCACATCTATCAAAGAAAACAAAAGAATTCATTTGATTGGTTAAATTTTAATCAGGCACTAAATGTGAAATATGTTACAGGGCCTACTTTTAATGGCTAACGTAAGGAGTCCCCCAAACCTTTTCTATAATACTTTGGTATTTTCTCAAAATAACTTCAACACTCTAGTCTGGCTTGTCCAGACCAGATTCCTACTTTAAACAGTGACCTACTCAACCTTTAACCACTCATGTAAAAGTATTTTTCCATTAAAAGTAAATGTTAATGTGACAACTTTCAAGGGATTTGAAGTTCAAAGCTACAGAGATGCACTTCTATGCAATCCTATCCAATTCGCATACTCTGAGATCAGTATGTAGGCTGCTGATCAGCAGAAAAGGTCACGTGCAGTTGACTTCAGTCTGTCTGCAGTAGTCAAAGTGTGTGAGCTGTGCAGACTTGGGCTAAACAGACACAGCTGAGGATGCACTGACTCTTTGATAACATACATTATGCAGTCTCTTCATTAGTTCTGGTGTTTGAACTTAGGAACAACACAACCCATCTGAAAAATATGACAGAGATGACCTTTATTATCTGCACACCACACTGCCTTTAACGCAGATAACATTGGTCTGTGTCGTCTGTAAGGCTACATTAGATGTGTTGTGTCCTTCGGGAGTAATCCTGGATAATAAGAGCGGAGATTTCAGGCTTGTTTGCAGTCAAGGCTGATAAAAGCTAGAGGTGATAGCTCTTGTGGTGGTTTTTGCTCAGAGATCTTCAACAATCATCTTACAAGAATTTTATTTATTTTTGTCTTTTTCTAGATATAACTTTGACTTCTTCTGAGTTAGCATTGTTCTTCCTATTAAGGCCTCTGTCAGTCAAGTTAACTTTCTTGCCCTCACCTGGCTCTCAGAGGGCAGTATGATGTCATCGTACGGCCCTGTAATGGCGCTGGGAAACTTGTTGAAGATGATTGGTTCTTTGGGGATTGGAGCATTTTGTTCCAGGCAGTGGTCGCGGTAGTTCATACCCACACATACCACCTTCTCTGGACCTGTCACTGGAGACAGCAGCTGGATGTCTGCTCGGTCTACTACACACTTACCGGACGCCAAAGCTCTGAGGATGATGAGGAGGAAGACTGGTTTTAGATGATGTGGAAAACAGAAGGTGAACAGATGACCAAGCTTGTTGACGTATGTGAGAAAGAAGATTGTGTTAACTGAAAATACTAAAATGATGATGATTTGAGATGAGTGTAATCAAATAAGCTGATGATTGAGTCATTTGAGTAGAAGGAGCATAAGGCAATAGTATGGCTGTATTAATTAATGGCTTAATGGAAGAGAGTTGTTGACACCTCTGTGCACACTCCAGGCCCTTGTCTCCCAGCTCCAGAAGCTCTCTCATTGTTGACGGCATCGAGGGGTCAAATGCCTTCAGATCCACCACACTGTGCCCCTCACCTTGCTCCACTCCCACCCTGATGCTTGCTCCTTCACCACGACGTCGAAACTGCACCAGACGCATCGCTGCACCGCTGAGTCCTCGCCTCTGCACGTCCACAGCTTGCCCCCGAGCGATTACACTCCTGAAGATGCAAAAGGAGCGAAGAGGAAGTCTCATCTGTTCGTGTGAGAAGAAGAGGAAGTGGAAACAGATAGTAGAGGTCATACCTGATCCTTCAACAAATGCACAGTCCAAAGACATGGATGGTAGTTTAACTGATTTTGTGTGAATAAACATGAATAATCGTTTGTCTCTATATGTTAGCCCTCTGGTAGATTGGTGACCTGTCCATGGTGTAGTGTGACTCTCACTGGGATAGGCTCCAACCCAACTGTAGCCTTGAATTGGATTAGAGAAATAAGATGGAGGACTATAGCTTCATTTTCCTGTTGTTAGCTGACAGGAGCGGCGCCTGGTGTGATATGCTGCTGCTGCTGCTGCTGCTGCTTCAGGTGTGCTGTGCACAGAAGTTCTTCAGTATACACCTTGGTTAATAAATGGTAAATGGATTTGTTCATGCTGCACAAGGCTGGGTGTCATGGACACCCAAGTTTGTGAATATGAAAACTTAAGAATGTGGTTGTTTTCTGAAAATCACCTAGGATTTTAACATTTATATTAAAGGTGCAGCTACTAGGAGGCTGTAGTGTAGCACTGGTGACCACTACCATTTTCTACTTTTCTTGAGCAGTCAGTCCTTTATGCAGCATGTCTCATTCACACACACACTCTCTTTTAAATGTAAGTGACTTCTATCTAACATTCACACACACATTTACACTCCAATTAAGACTGACACTAAGCTTTAGTCTGAGATATCGAAATCCACCGACAGTAGACCACCTGAGCCACACCTGAACAATGACTGGATATTTGATTTAAAGCAAATAAGGCATTTTCCCCCAGAGACCTGCCTAATATGACTGGATTGTTTCCCCTCCATTTCTGACCATTATATATAAACTATAGAGCTAGCTGTGCGGGAAATCCTAGTATATCATCAGTTTCCGTTTATAATGCAGTGCAACGATTCTGTCATGCACTACTTTTCTAATATTCTCCAGATTCTGACTTTTAATGCCTCAGTCTAAACTCCTTAAACTCTTAAAACTTGCGTGAACCCTAACTTTTCTGAGAACCGGCTGCCATAATGGAACAAGTGCAAATTAAGTTCACTAATCTGCACAAAATAATAACACGTAATTATCTCCCGCTGTCGCATTATAATAGAGCTGCAAGTTGTAACTACGGTGGAAAAAGCAGCTTCTCTGTGCAGCTTCTCTGTGCAGCTTCTGTCGCTAGAAACGGTACCTGCAGCCTGGGATGATTTGCTTATCTCGGATTTTTTTTAAAATCATTTTTAACTCTTATTTTATACTAAAACACTTACAGATCAACCGTGACACCTACTGCTTCCACTTCGACCTTTGCACTGCCTTCAGTCAATACTCACCTCCGCAGTTTTTGCAGCTCTGCACAGAAAACACTACTTTTAGCTACTTCCGGTTAGCGTTTGTAGTCCGTCAGCTCAGTCTCGTCCAAAGCGAGATAAATCACTCAGCCAGCGACGGAGTGCAGCCACGATTATCATTTATATCATTGCTAGTTGTAATTTATATATATGTGTGATGTAATCATCTAAATTGAGCTTTTGGTTTTTTAATGAATCGGAAGTAGAAACTACAAATCCCTGCTGTGTCCTTATTGTGTCTTGACATACAGTAGGAAATTTGGCGGCCTGGCTAACTTAAATTTAGACATTTTCTACAACAAAACACGAAATAAATTCACAGCACGTAATTTTGCTGCTTAACCACACACTGGAACCAGCTGCTTAGTGTCAAAGCTGCCTTTATTAGCCGACCCAAAAAGCACTTTACGGCTAAGCTTGTCTTTATCGTGCAGCTACGGAAGTCCCTGAAGGCAGCGTGAGTGGATCATGTGACCAATTCCTGACCGGTGTAGGAAGGATCATTTTAGGCTTTTCATCCTGAAGGTAGCAGAGGAAGGTAGCAGAGGAAGACGACAGAAAATGTGCACCAGGTAGTATTTACGTTTTATTTAAAATTCAAAACGGTAAAATTTAACGGTTTTCTGACGTGCAGCTTTCTGCTGCATGCGCAGAATCTGATCCAATTTCAACATGTTTTGTATTTTAACCCACAAATAACAGGCTGTGAAAATAAGATATATTTTACTGTAATATAAACTTAATGCAATAAGTCAGAGTGGTAATATAGCAAAAATGAGGCCATATTAATCCACCGTGTCTCACATAAACGCGTAGTTTTAAGTAGTCGTAAGTAGAAGTAATGATATTGCTGTGAGTGTGATTACTTGTTTTATTAAGCACGTGTTTAACTGGCGTTGCACACAGCTGCATGATATTAAATTTATTGTTTTACGTGTTATTTATTTAGTTAAAATGTGGATAAATCCGAACCTACCATCCTGCTTGCAGATATTTATTCTATCTAGTTTTCACTTTCCTTTTTCTAAGCGTCATATGATGCCAGAAGTATCTGACTCATGTGAAATGAGTCAGTCTCGTGAGCATTTTATTACCTGTAAACCGCAGGTTATTTGCAAAGTCTGGAGACGGTCATTTTAGCTCAAGCAACGAGATTTCTGGCTTCAAGTTGCATGGACAAGAAAAGTCTAAACGTGTTTACCACCACAGGAAATGTATTCTGTGACACTCCTTAGTAGCTGCAGACAACACAGAACCTTGGCCCACTTTTTTTTTTTTTATCGGTAGCCTGCATTATAAAAGACTCTGATTGTGCAACTGTGTCTTCTGAGATATCGTGTTAGGCTCTGCTGACATTGCAGTTTCTCTCTCCAGCGTCCAGCCCATCCAATGGACAAGCGACCTCAGGAACCAGAAGTAAGTATCAGGGCCCTACTTCGTCTTTGACTGTCAGTTTTTATGCTTTTGATTTTCTTAACAGACCGTTTGTTTCTTCTTTCTAGTTTTGATGGCATTGTTTTAGTGACCCAGAGCCATGAATCCGTGCCCTCTGAACTCGAGTCCCTGAAAGCCCCACTGCAGGACTACAGTGCTGTAAGAGTCCGACTCTCTTCTTTCGACTATATATGTGCTTGCAGTTGTGCAAAAGATGGGAATAGAAGCTGGATTAAAACAATAGGGTTAAACAAATAAGACCAAATTAAAATAAACTTGAGGAGAAGTTAAAATAAGGAGAAAAAAGGTACATGTCAGTATATTTTCATGTTTTATGTCCTTGGAGAATTGTTATAAACTTAACGAAAAATAAGCAAGTCAGGCGCAGATCGCAGCAGACAGGCGGTGGATCGGCGGCGAATAAGAGAGAAGCTACGGAGCTTCCACCAGGCCCCTCCGGGAACATCCGACTCCTGCGAGTGAAAACAACAGGGTCATCACATCCCCACTGGAGCTTTGCAGTGAGGTATCCTGCTCTAATGCAGAGAGGAGGATGAAATATTTCTCCTTAGCAAATCTACCAATAATTCGAAAACTGTTTTGCACAGGACAGTTTAAGCTGAACTCTATATCTAAGGGGAGAAAAAAATTTTTATCGTTACTATTTCTACCAGTTCATCACGTATTCCATATATGACCCTGCCTAAAGTGATTATTTTACTTTTATTATTACCTGGGTCGAATACATTCAGGCTTTTGAGTGTTCAAATGACATGTGTTCCTCTGTTCTCCAAATATTCTGTGAAGAGTCTTTTTTGTAGTTACTCTTTAGTAACTCTTTAGTTACAAGTTAAGCTTGTTAAAGAAGGAACTTTGTACCGGTTGGGCAATTCTGGCGTAAAACAAGGATACTGGCGCTGGGTATTTTCCCTGACCCTGGTAGAGGCCCTCGACTGGCACGAGAATTTCCTCTCAACTCGAGGTTTCACCTGAACTTCGGACTTGGAAGCCTTTCATTTTGTTTTTTTGGTTTACTTGTTTGTTGTTCTTGTTCATGTTCTGGTTAGCATGGGTGATGTTGCACAAAGGAACACAGACTGAAAAAGTTATATGCATCATCGGGAAAATAAAATAATCACGTTAAACGTAAATGGGCTACATAATCCGATTAAAAGGGGCAAAATAATAGCCAAAATGAAACGTGAGAAGCTGCATGTAATTTTTTGGCAGGAAACACATTTATCTTCTTTAGAACAGGAAAAATTGAAAAAACTTGGATTCCAGAATACCTATTACTCGTCACATAAATCAGGCCGCAAAAGAGGAGTAGCCATACTGATCCCCAATGCTGTTAACTTTGAATTGTATTCAGAGGTAAAGGACAAAGAAGGGAGGTTCATTTTGGTAAAGGGTAAATTAGAAGAGGAGGAAGTAACATTATTTAATGTATATGCCCCGCCAGGAAGCTCCAAATCCTTCTATAAGAAGCTATTTGATTTAGTGGTTTTGGAAACACGGGGAGTTTAGATTTTTGGTGGAGACCTTAATGTTCAACTCCAGCCAAAACTAGATTCATCCAACCACCGGCAAAAGAAAAGTTCGAATGCTATTATGGTCCAACACATGCTTACAGAACTGGGTTTGATTGATGTGTGGAGAGCCTATCATCCAGGGGATAAACAGTTTACCTATTATTCTGCGTGCCATTCAGTATATACTCAAATTGACTATTTTTTTATGTACAAATCAGACTGGCATAAGGTCGAGGAATGTAAAATAGGGGTCAGAGATTTATCTGATCATTCAGGTGTGTACCTAACCCTGCACCGTGCTAAACAGCGGACAAATACACTTTGGAGACTCAATACCAGTATTCTGAATGAGAAATCAGTACAAACACAAATCCAACAGGAATTTGAAACTTATCTACAAAATAACGACAATGGCGAGGTATCTCCAAATACTCTATGGGACGCAGCAAAAGTTATCATTAGAGGTAAGATTATTGCCCTCATAGCTCACAGGAAAAAAGAAAAGCAGAAAAGACTTGAGAAGCTACAGGAGGAATTGAAATCACTAGAGACTAGACATATTGACCAAAAAGATCCCCAGATATTGGCGAGAATGAACAAAATTAAACAAGATATAAAC